AAAAAAGTTGTTCAGTTAATTTAGAAAGTGAGTGTTTGCTGCATCTACCGGGGGGAGGATGTGTTGTAGTCCGTGATCATCTGAATGCCTTTCCACATCCTCCTGGTTTTGCTGTCGTCGTGGAAAAGATCCTGGATTTTCTGGCAGTGGTGCTGCTTCGTTGATCTGATGGCGGTTTAAGTTGGCATGCACTGTTCTGAGTGCCTCCTTATCACCAGACTTGAAAGCTGAGTTCCGTGCTTTTAGCGATTTCCGAACCTCTCCATTTATCCAGGGTGGTTGGCTGGCCCGGGTGGTGATGTTCTTTTTGATGCTGACGTTAGGGTGGCCATTTCTATAGCACCAAAAAGGAGGACATTGTGCGGCATATCAATAAATTACTAAAAGAGGATGCTTGTGTAGCTGAATAGAACAAAATATTAAAGAAATGTATAAAAAATAATTGGTTCCCAGCATTTGTATTTATTTAATACATTGTGGTGTTTAAAAAGTGACCATTTTTTAACACGATTAATTTGCGCAGAACTCCTGCAATTGATCATAAAGCAGTTGTTTGGAAAAGAAGCTCGAGAAAGAGCTAGAGAATAGGACGATGCAAACTGCAAAAAGTGGCTGGAAAAGAGGAATTCATGACATGGCTGCAGCCTGTCGAGAGTAAAGATGATTTCACCATGTTCTCTATCTATCCATTTCTATATCTATATATAGAATTAAATTATCAAAATTATTTCTAATAGCATTAAAAGAGCATTAAATTAGAGTTCCTCATTCCTGTATAAAACCTGTGAACGCTTAATTTAATCTGACATATTAAAAAAATCCCCATCATCATCCAGCAGATGTTCAGTTTCTGCCCAAATATTTTCTTTCTGTTGTGGATTTTTGTAACAGGGATAACTAGGATCATACATAGTTTGTATGAACTCTGTTTATTCTCTGCTTCCAAACTCATCATCTCTTCATCCATTCCTGCAATAAGAATTTTCTTTTAAAGTTGTGAGATTCACTCTAGAATCTCACAACTTCTTCCTGGTCTGTTGAAGCACCAATAGTCTGCATCCAATTATTTAATTAATTGCTCTTAGTTTTTGGGAATATATACAAACTATGCTCTAATTTCTAGATACCGATTTATTATTACTATAATTTAATTTGACAAACCAGGTCTTCTCTACATTCTTTTTTCTGTTTGGTGAGATTGCAATAGCGGGTCTTGATCTGGATGGACCGGAGGGGAGCAAAAAATAGCTCAGCTCCGTATTTTGACGGTGAAGGACGGAGAAGACGTACGTGGGCGGTGACGAGCGGAGGATGTGGAACAGCTCTCATTGATTTACATGACAGACAAGTAGCCTACTCCGTACGTGAGCGGGGCGGAGCGCTGACGGAGTATGTGGAATCTGGGAGTAAAGGAGGACAAATACACGTCCGGCTGGGTGCAGCGCCGGACGCCGGACAGTGCAATGAAAATCCGGACTGTCCGCCCTAAAGCCGGACATCTGGCCACCCTAGCTGACGTCCTCAATGCATTTGTTGATAAAGGCTAACACAGTCATGGCATACTCAACAATATTTAATAAGTTGTTATATGTTGCTGCATCCTTAAAGATGTTCCAGTCAGAGCATTCAAAACAGTCTTGGAATTTCTTCATGGTGTCCTCAGACCACACTTGGACCTCTTTAACTGTCGGTTTAGCCCTAATCAGCTTGGGCTTATATGCAGGGATAAGCATGACAGATAGGTGATCTGATGACCTGAGGTGGGGGTGGGGGGCTGCTCTGAATGCATCTTTGGTGTTAGAGTAAACCAGGTCTAAAATGTTTTGACCCCAAGTCCACATGTTGGTAAAAATTAGGGAAAACAGTCTTCAATTTAGCCTGGTTAAAATCCCTAGCATTGATGAAAACACCCTGTGTGTGTGCAGATTGGAGCTCAGAGATAGCCTGGTAGAGAGGGGCTTCTTTAGTATTAGCACTTGGGGCCACACTGAACACTCTGGGTAGACAGAAAGGTCTGCAGTTAACAGTCAGAACCTTAATGTCTGGAGAGCAGAAGCTGGCAACCGATCTAGGGGTCTTGCACCAGCTGTTGATGTAAACACAGAGCCCACCACCTCGAGTCTTACAGCTTAGCTCTTTGTTCCTATTGGCGCGTTATAGCTTTAGCCCCTCCAGGTTAGTAACATTTTCCGGTATTGCTGGATGCAGCCATGACTCCGTCAGAATGATGGCGCAGCAGTTACTAATCTCCTTCGTTGAGTTCCAGATTATCCATTTTGTTTTCTTGTGGGCATTGAAGAGCAGGATTGATTGAAGTGGAGGATCTGTGAGGATTTCTCTTTAGCTTCACAGTTAGCCCCCTCTGCATCCTCAATTTCTCCATCTTGCGCATTTCTTCCTTTGGCAGTTACATTCCGTTGTTGTTTTGTTGACATCCGTCTGTAGCACTCCACAGCTTTTTAAATGGTCAAAAATTTCAGTATTTAAAACATTTTGAGACCATAGCTCCAGCAGTCATTGGCGATCATAGATGCGTGTTTGAATTCTAGTTTGTATCAATAGTAGCTTTTCTTGGCCGCTGCTTTGGAGTACGCCATGGTTACCACCACATAGAATGGCTTCAGATAGTGCAAGTAGTCTCATTAGGTTGTTATTATCGAGTGAATCCTGATCCTAAGCCTAAAGTTATTCCTTTTCCCCCCACAAAATTAATTAAGTGATTTATGTGTAATCTGAAAATAATTTCAGTAGTTCTTCATGTACTGTAAATACAACTAAATGAAAATAGAATTATCTGCATCTCACTCATGTTAAACAGACCAAAAACAAGTAATCTCATGCCTTGTCAACTTTTCAAAGTGTGCATGCTCTGATTGGGGATTTTTTTTTCTATGTACAAAACCACGACAAAAATCTGACTGAATCAAGAAATACAACAGCGTGATTGGCTGTAAGGAGAACGGAGACAGAGGACATGCCGAGTTTACTGAGCAAAAAACCTGCTACCAAGCAGGTTAGCTCTGGGGAGAACGTTACTATGGTGTCTGAACAGAAATTGAATGAACCCTGTTTTGAACTGTAAAACTCAAAGTTTCGCTGTTTTCAGGTTAAGACAAATTTGAGATAAACCTGCTTCGTAAAACGAACCCCAGGACAAAAACCGTTTAGGTAGACAAATCATAAATTTATCATTTCCTAGGATTTGACAAACATTCTTGACATTAGCAAAATATTGATATTTAATTCTAAATTTAATATAGATACTAGTTAAGACTGTAGTCTCTTTTGTAAATCAGATTTCAACAAAGTTTTCTTTATAGATGATAATACTGATTATCACAGTACAATCCTTAAAAATACTGTATAATAATATACTATATAATTTAATATATTACAATATATTAATATAAAACTTTGTGTTTAATTTTATTAATTGCTAAATATATAACTGCATGTATATATCTCATCAAGTTTGACTTCAGTTTAAATTGTTTTAATCTGAATAAATAGGTGAAAGCTAACTGAAAGGTAATTTTAAAATTTGTTTTGGTCTCTTAAGGGGATGTGACATGTAAAAGATTATTGCGATAATATCTCTGACTTGTCTTACGCCTCTGACCCAAGATGGCCGCTTTGTAAGCATGTCAGCCTAGCTGCAGGCAGCGTCCAATGGTGCGTCTACGTCTATGGTTTTACCTGTTTAAAATCAAGTAGCACTGAAAAAGTAGGTTAGATCGTTTGAATTCAATTTCGGAGTTTAATGGGGGAATGGCGTAACGACACAACAATAGGCCCATAGGCAACATTATCTGGGTGGGTCCCATATGAATTACAACACCACATATTTTGGGAAGTTTCTTCCATTCTTCCAGCAGCTCTTCTTTGCTTTTTCTTTTCTGGAATCCGCTTAAGTACCCCTTTTTGGTATCCATCGTCACTAAGACATTGTACGTAACGGTTATGGTTTTAATCGATGCTCTGTATTACCCATAATTCCAAGACGTAGTGTAAAAAATAAAATACTCAAATACATTGTCCTATTAAGATCTTTATTGCTGTTTGAAACATATTATATGAGTTTATTTTTTATCAACCGTCTAATGAATTATACACAGTTATTAACATAGTAATTAAAAGTACTCCTGTCTGCTTTGCTATTGGTGTCGTGTTTAAATGGCTCACCATCATGTTGTAATCTGGCATGTGTTGGGGTATAAATAAGGTCAGTCAAACAGGTATCAGGTGGGTTTAAGAAGAATTTTTTGCACCATTACATCTGCAAAGAGATGTCCTAGTCCGCAATTGCGTTGGTGGCTAACCAGGTGTCAGTGATGGGGCCCCTAAGAGGTCGGGGGCCCCTAAGAGGTCGGGGGCCCCTAACCAACTGCAGTCTCTGCTTACCAGTTGTTACGCCATTAAGTTGACCTCTGGGTCAACTGAAAAAATAAATTTAATATCTCTGAAACAACAGCAGCACACATGATCTTTTTAAAAATATATCTATTTATTTCTCATTTTTTGAAATGACCATTTTAACAGCACAAACCTGAACTAATAAATCACTAACCGTCTTTCTTTTTTTGAAACAAGAAATGTTAAATATAATTATTCAAAATATTCACATATGAAATCCTGCATGGAACAGTAATTACCAGTTAAACTATGTGGAAACCAGTGGTTTGCATAAAATACAAGATAAATAGATAAACAAAAGTATAAATGCTTATTTTTCTAAAGAATTACAGAATAACCCTCTAAGGTGTTTATAAATTTCCTTCATTTTAAGTCCATATATAATTGGATTAAAAAGTATGGTATAAGTAATGGACTAGCTTACAAAACACTTTGAGATTATATTATGGAGATAAATATATATTTGTTCTGTGGATAAATTGCATGAATCTTACAGGCATGGAAAATAATATTTAATATTAAATTTGCAGCTATTTTTTTTATTTTTTTTTAACAATTGGAAAAAGCTAAATCCCGACAGAGATATATGTAATTAGTTTAACTATGTGGGATCAAAAAAACAGATTTACATCAGATGACATATATGGCAAAATTTATTTTACTTTCCCCTTCCACAACAGAATAACCTTTTAAGGTGTTTATAAATTTCCTTCATTTTAAGTCCATATATAATTGGATTAAACAGCGGACTGCACATTATTATTTGCATTGTCATAACAAAACGTACCGTCTTTGATATATCAGCTTCCAATCTAACAATAACAGTATCATAAGTGAGCAAACAAGAATAGTTGATTAAAACCAGCAGGTGAGGTAAACATGTCTGTGTAGCTTTTTTCCTGACATCCCCACAACTTCTATAGGCCACTATTAGTATCATGCTGTAAGAGAATAGTATGAAAATCATTGGAAGAAGGCTAATATTGAATAAACCCGCTAAGCCATATATCACCAGTGCTCTTGAAACAAAACAGAAAAGATAAATTACAAAATTATTACAAAAAATGCCTTTCAAAGTAAAGCTACAGAGTTTTAAATTAGCAAATTTGGCGAAAGGCACAAGGACATAGCAGGCAGGTACAAACCAGGCTAAAAAAAGGAGAATAATCACTGTTGTTTTTCTCATAATGATTTGATATTTTAAGGGTTTACAGATGGACACATATCTGTCATAAGCCATGGCTGCCAACAGCAAAAATTCAGAACAACTTAAAGAATAAAATAAGAAACTCTGCAAGAGACAGACTGGAAAAGCTATCCTCTGTTTTTCAGATAAAAAGTCTATCATTAGCTTTGGGTAAATTGCAGTACTGAAAAGCATGGAGTTCATTAACAAAGCAGCAATAAAAATATACATGGGCTCGTGGAGGTTTTTATGAATCACAATCAGAGAAAAAACAATAGTATTGCTGGACAGGATCAAACTATAACAAGTAAATATGAGAACAAAGTAAACATATCTATATTTCTCAATCTCTACATGACCATCAAGAGTGATGTATGTTACATTCATTTCAGTAAGCCCAACCATCAAACAAATCTTATAGAACAGCCTGTCTCTTCTTAATTTACTGTAACAATACTAGAATTGCAACATGAGACAGACCATTTTAAGGTTAGGTGCTACACATGAGAAAAAAAAGCTTTGTAGTACATTCTTTCTCCAATTGGAAAGTGTTTGAGACAGACCAAGTATTTAAAGACCGTTCTTTACTCATGATAGATTACAGACTCATTTCCTTGAAGAGGTGTTGGCATGTTAACAACCTCTGATGACTTTAAGGGAAGTATGTAAAGTTTCGGCTCTTCTGTATAACTTCTTCTACAAGTTTGTATTCAACAAAAGTTTATTTATAAGTCTTTAAAATGTACTATCTAAATAAAAATAAAAATAAATCCAGAAACCTTAGGTGAGGAGTAGTAGCAACAATCTTTCAGTCTGACTTACTAATTACTCCGTCAGTTAATAATAACAACTCGTTTAACCCTTAATTTCCCTCATTCAAATTGCTAAGTAACAAAACCTCTTTGTTTTGTAACTTTGTATCATCCACTAGGTCCTTACTCTGAATTTGTATTTGACTGTCAGAGTTCCTATCTGATTTAGTGGTAATTACTGAAAGTCATCATAGTAGGGAATTTTAACAGGGATTTTAGGATGGTAATCGAAAACCGGTCCCTGTTCAGAACCGGTTTCTTGTGTTCCAATTCCATGGCACCGTTTGGCAGCTCCCTTTACAGTTCTCTTAACGGTTCCAGGCAGCACCAGAGCCTAGCATGACTTATGTCACGTTTTTTACGCAAGTTACGCACACAGCATTCAGTAAGCAAGTACGACGTGACCAGGCATCAGTCCAAAAAAACAAAACAAAAAATATTTTCAAATATTTTTTTTAAAGATTTTTCATTGTTATTATAAGCATATAAAAGCCAATAATTACTTATGACTTAGACAGATTTATTTTGTTATTGTTTACACATGTAGAAAAAAATGAAATTTCGTTTAGAACAGCTCAAGACAATTTCATATTTTAAAGTGCAGCCTTGAAAACAGTAATAAATACATAAAAAAATAGTAATATAAATGACTGTATATTTACAGTTCTAACATTCTTTTTTTTCTTACTTTGAGAAGATAGGCCAAACTGTATTTTTGGAGATTTTTTCTTCATTATTATAAGCATTTAATAACCAATAATTACACTATAAATCACTTGCGTAACTTTCTGAAGGACTGGTGTGGACATGTCCCCACCAACTTTGAAATGGGTGGGGACAGTCCCCACTAATAATTTGTACATTTGTGTTCGGCTCATTTACTTTAGCCAACAACAGTAACCTAAGGAGGCGCTCGGCTGTGTGTGTTCTGAGAGTTTTCAGTCAGCGTTTCTGTCTCGCTATTCAGCTGCACCTGAGTCCCGCCTACTGATATGTTATCATCAGAGATGGGAAGTAACGAAGTACAAATACTTCGTTACTGTACTCAAGTAGATTTTTCTGATATTTTTACTTTACTTTACTACTTAAATTTATGGCGACTTTTTACTTCTACTCCTTACATTTTTACACAAATATCTGTACTTTCTACTCCTTACATTTTAAAAAATTGGCTCGTTACTTTAGTTTTGAATCATTTCAATGGAGTTACCGTTATTATTTTTCACGTCATCAATACCAAATTCAATCTAATTGGATGGGAATCTACGTTGCATTTGACGCACCACTACAAGATGAATCGACAGATTCGGCGGTATTCATTGGCGGCAAATCATTGCAGCTTGGTGGCGGTGGCGTTAGCATAGTAGCATGGACGACGAGATGATTGAAAATGAACACAACGGAGATCTAGTCCTGTTGGCAGACATCCATTTAAAATGTAGGCAATGGCATGAAAAAAGTGGTTTCTACTTTGGCTTTTATACTTTAAGTAAATTTACAAGCCTGTACTTTGTTACTTTTACTTGAGTAAAGAAGTTTAATCAGTACTTCCACTTTTACCAGAGTATTTTTTAACACAAGTATCTGTACTTTTTCTCAAGTACGGAAACTGAGTACTTTTGCCATCTCTGGTTATCATTGGATCCTATGTCCATGGCTCCATGTCTGTCACTTTATGATAGAACATTATTGGCGGACACTATTCATCGCGTCATCAGTAGCTATGTGATTGGAGGAGAGACGACGCTTAGTAGCACTCATTAATATTAACCAGCAACTACTTCAGGTTTTATTTTGAATAAAAAAGTAGTACACGGGTTTAAAAAAAAAAAAATGCCACCGAAAAAGTCATCAGACATACGGAGCTTTTTCAAAGACAAAAACAGCAACGGAGTGTAAGTAGCCTTGAAAATTAGTATTATAATACAATAAGTTTGACAAAAGCAGACGTTTAAATAGTGTGATCTTTGCTAGTTTAAAAGAAGCAAAACATCTCAGTTTTTTTTCAGTCACAGTTTTTTCCTGTTTTTCTTTTTTATTAATGTTCCTGATGTTTCTGAGCCATTACAAAAGAGGCATTTAAAGGAACCAGTCTATCTGTACATTATAATATTTTTATTTTGTTACTGTTTCATTCTCAGCAATATGAAAGCACTGGATAAATGTATGGCATTCAAATTTGTGTTTGGGCTTATTTTTAGCTAAATACAAAAACCTAACGAAAGCCTTTAAATCCTGTAACTGCAGGTTCATCATCCCCAACCCTTATAGCAGGGGTAAGCAATTAAAAATTAGCGAGGTCCCAATAAAGAAAATCATCAACCAGTAAAGGTCTGGAGACATTTTTAATGATCTGTTACTTTAAACAGAATTTAACACTGAAATAAAATGAGTTGTTTATGCATCCATGCTATACATTGAATTTTTTAATAAAACTATTGATAAATAAATACATGAATTAATAAATTTTTTCCATTTTAAAATCTAAAGTGTTTTTTGAAGTAGGAAACAACAATAGTTTGGTATATCGACAATTTCCTGATTCCCATATCTTATAAAACACCTGAACTGAGTGTTTGTTAATTTTTTTCTTTCTTTTTTCTGGCTTAATGAGAACAGTGGGCTTTAGGCTGCCCTGCAAGGCACATATTAAGGTGCTCATTTTGAGTCTGGATCCATATTTATTTTTGATTCTGTTCATGGTGGAAAATCCTGCTTCACAGCAGCAGGTTGAGTCAAACATACTCTAAATGTTCAGGCTCCGCTCCGGTCCGGCCAGGTCAAGATCCGCTATTGTAATCACACCAAACAGGGTAAAGAACATCGAGAAGATGCGGTTTGTCAATTTAAAATATAGTAACAACAGATCCGTAATTGCAAATTAGAGCATAATTCTTATATATTTAAAAAAAAAAAACTAACACAGTTTATTAAAATGATTGGATTCAAACTATTGGTACTTCAACAGACCAGGAAGCAGATTTCTCATCTCCCTCAGAAACCACACATATGCTGGATACTGATGGAGATTTTTTTAATATGTCGTATTAAATTAAGTGTTCATTTCTGCATGTTTTGCTCCTACGAATTTAATGATAATATCACTCATGCTCTCCTCGAGCTCCGAAGAAGTCGGAGCGCAGCAACTAGGGAAGGGACAGTGGAGGCTGTAGGCTTTGCTTTGCAGGAGGTCTGGAGTGTTGCAGGGAGGAGTGGTGACAGAGGATGTGGGATTTCGGGGTAACAGAAGAAGTGGCTCAAGTGAAGTCAGACACTGTCATCAGTCAACATGCGGTAATTTATAAATGTTTTAAATTACATTAAATGACGTTGGGTCTGGATTAGCCAACAGGTGGATCTGGATCCGGACCGCGCTCCGCTAATCCGTGACCTCTGCCTTATAGTGTCCCCACCAACTTTCATTACAATGTTACTCCCTTTTATGGATCAATGTAGTGCCACCAAACTTGTAGCACACATAGATAACCTCATCTAGTTCATACTACAACTCTTGCTTTCGGAATATGTGCTAAACTAAATTTTTTTTTAGATCTTTTCATTGTTATTATAAGCAGGCCAGGGATGCAGTCTCTGCAACAGGAACCACAGCACTGAGCGTTGTGTGCACTGCACAAAGTATACCTGTCACAAATGCAGGAAGGACTCACCTTGGGTTTGTGAAAACTGCTAAATGGGACAATTGTAGCTTCATATGTAGTGCTTTTCCTTTGTTGAAATAAATGTTACTCCAATACTGAAATCATACCATTTGTCATTCTCTAAGCTGAAAAGTTGACAAAATACAATTATTCTCTAAGTTTCTTTCACATAGTGAGCTTTGCGATATAAATGAGTCTGTTGATGAATGGACAATATAAATAGGTTCTGCCATGACTTTTTGGAAAAGCATGACTGTGACCTCTTCTCAGTTCAGGAACTAGGACCCGTATGATATCTGGTTGTTCAAAAGGTTTGCCTTAATAAAAGATTTAGATATACGGTAACTTATCAATATATTCCTGCAAGAAGGTCTGATGTTGCAGGGGAAGGTAATGAAAAGTGTTTGGAACATGTTCTTGTTGTGATACCAGTTTGTTTCAAGCTTTATCCAGTCTGTTGTAGAAGGGTTGGTCATATCACAGGGTATTTGCATTACAACAGGGACAGTTAGCAAGGTAGAGTGAATACACAGACTTGAAGACGGGGGGCTTGCAGGAAAACTGGAATTCTCTGGGACTTGTAGTGTTAATAGAGTCCCCCTCCCCCAAAAGTAGGTTTCACTTTAGTGGATCATTATCAGATAATGAAGTTATAAATAAAAATAAAAAAATGTGTTCCACTTTCTCTGTCCTGCCAGCATTACTGTACATGTGATTGCTCTGCCTGCTTTGTGTTTGCACCTTGTCATTACGGCTGATTGTTGTCAGAGTGTTTTGGACAGTCAGTATGACACAGCTTATAGGGGCTGAAATATAAAACACTTGGACCAGCTTCATTGTTTAGTCGGCTGTCCGTTAGGCCGCTACCTCACGAGATTCAAAAGTCTTCTGCTTTACATTTTCACCACAGCCGGTGTCTGTGGGGTAGAAGGGATGGCCAGAACCCCAGCTCCAAA